TTAGGGCAAAAAATACCTACATTTTAATTAAACATTTTAAGTGACAACCTTTTTATTAAGGTAAAAATTTTATTTAATGAATTGAATATCCAATTTTGTTTAATTAAATTTCTCCATTAATCTTTTTATTTATTTTATATTTAATTAAATTTTTATAATTAATTTTTTTCAATTTTTAATTTTTTCTCTTAAACAAAAAATAGATGAGCATTTCTTTGGTATTTGATAAAAACATTTAATTCGCTGAACGAAAAATTTAATTAACATCAATTAATTAAAAGTAATATACTTCAATTATTATTTTTTTTTCATTGGAATAAAGTGTGGTGCTCTTAGTTTTTTTTATTTCTAATAAATTCAAAAATGTTGTTAATTTTACTTTTTACTATATTTTATTAATTATTATTTTGTTTAATTGTACATTTAATTTTTTTTTTAATTACAATATTTTTTTTTAATTATTTGACAACTATGCTATAAATAAATATAGGCAATATTTATTTTTGATTTAAAAATGTTTTTCTTGCATCGGTCCTAACTTAAAAAATATTTATTTACCGTTATCGTTATAAATTATATTTACTTAAATTTTTTGATCTCATTGTATTCGGGATGTTATTACATTACTGTGCATATATATACTTATATTAGATGAGTGCATAAGTTCGTGCCCGATTTCAAGTGCAAACTAAAATTGAAATTTTTTGAAGAAAGCGCTTCGTGTGTCTGTTTCCATGTTCTTTTGCGTTGAACATTGTTGTACAGGATCCATTTTTCATCACCAAACACGAGCCAATCCAAAAAAGGTTCGTTTTTGATCCGTCGAAGCAAAGAAATTGCTGTTGACATGCGGTCCACTTTGTTCTTTTCAATCAACTGATGTGGCACCCATGTATCCAGATTCAAAGTGTACCCAACCTGTTTTAAACGACGAAACGCAGTTGATTTGTTGACGTTCAATTCACTGGCAACCTCTTCCGTCGAAATACGTGAGTTATTCGCAACTAAAGTCCTTAGAACATCGTCATCAAGCTCAGAAGGCCGTCCACTGCGAGGTTGATCTTCGAGGTTAAAATCTCCAGAACGAAATTTCGCGAACCATTTCTTTACTGTGCGGAGTGCTGGAGCACGGTCCAAATAAACTTCGCGAATATCTTTAGTTGCAGCGCCTACTGTTTTTCCTTTGCGGAATTCGTATAACATAATATGACGCATATGATCTTTTTCGTTGTCCATCTTCCATGCGTCTTTTCACTAAGCAACTCAAATCAAAATGAAGTTATTTTATGCTTGATTTACAGTTCGGACTGTCACCTTTCCAACGATATATAATATGTATATATTTCTTTCACGAGCGCCACTCTCAAACGATTCGAACGGCATCCAGCGGAATCGGGCACGAACTTATGCACTCATCCAATATATAAGCTATATAGTTCAATTATGGCAATAATGCAGAGGTTTAATCGTATCCATAAAGAGCTGGCAAAACGAACAAATGAAATGTACGAAAATTATTTAAATGCGAAAAAGAGCTCAGATTTTTATATATTTCTTTTTAATGATTTTTATTGTTTTACTGCTGTTTAAATAAAATAAAATAAGTTAATTAAAGTACAGTTTTTCTATTTCACAAGAAATCGCAAAAAAATAGTATTTGGTCGCTTTGTTCTTTTTTTTTTTTTGCTCGATTTCCTTACAGCCCCTATTTGTTATTATAATCAATAGCAATTTTTAGAATTTGAAGTTCTTGGAACTCGAAGTGATAGAGATAAGGTCAATATACATATATATATATATATTATATAATATATAATATAATATATTATATAATATTTATATATTCTTCTTTAATATTTTATTTAATTGCTGCCGTTCACTTATACACTAGCGCATTTTCATATCTATATCTTTTTACGTATGTATATATATGTATTTTAAAAATTAAAAACTTCAAGTAGTAATATGTTAAAGCGGTAATTTGATTTGTTTTAAGACAATCAATTGTAGGCAAGTAAATATTTGTTTGTAAGAATTTAAAGCATTTAATGGGTATACATATATAATTTATTTATTTGCCACATACTTACATATTTATACATATGTATTTATATAGTTATTTGTTTAATTTGTATGTATATAAATTTTTTAAATTTTTTTTTTTATAATTATCGCTGCTGGCTGACGAGAGATATAATTATGTATGCATATATATGTGCATTTAAGTGTGTCATATGAAATATACCGCCAAAAAGTTCTAATTTCAATCTGTTATACGGAAGCAAAATGAAAAAAGCTGATCAAAAAAAAATAATAATAAAGAAATAATAATAATAAAATAATAAATAAGCATCCGGGTGCTGTTATACCAAAAAAATAAAAATATATAATATATAGAAAAAAAATTGACGATTAGGCAAAGCGTAGGTGAACGTAAGCAAAGCACTTTAGAAAAAAATCTCGTGTGTAAGGAAAAGCTTCAATTCTCCATTTCTTCTTTTAATTATTTATATAAATATCAGTTTCCATTTTAATACCATACATACATATATATTCTTCAATGTGTAAACATGTCTCTCGCTAATGAGCAATTTTTAAAGCTTCCAGCAAAATGAAAAAAGAAAAAAAGAAATCATGAACCTCCAATTGAAAGTAACGCGATAATCACGTGTCTAAATGGCGAGAAAAATAAACTGTTCACTTTTAAATGCACATAAACACTTATATGACGCATGTATTTAGATGCACATATGTATATGTATATATTGGCATACATATTTACATACAATTTATGTCATTTGTACAGTCAACTTGCGATTCAAATATGATTTTTGTTTTTGTAGTACTATGCCTGCTCGTTACGCTACGTGTACGTATAAATGACAGAGGCTGTGAGTGGGCGTCCGCATTTTGAGTTTTCAACTTTTGCCGTTACTATGCCAGTTCATTTGGCTTGACTCTCTGTGCTATTATTGTATTATCTCGTTATTTATTTTTATTTCCATTTTTATTGTATTTTTATAATATTTTCTTGTGTCAATTGTCATTGACCTTTGCGCTCCACGAAATACTAATAACACAACATTTCGTGTTATGTAAGTGTTGAATCACACTTATTATTTCGAATGATACAAAATTTTATACTTGAAATTGAAGGAGCTAGTGAGCGAAGTGCTGTTTTTGCAAATTTTTAATAAGTAAAATAGTTGTCTTTGTGATTAGCGGGAATATTGGAAATGTAATGTAATGAAAATAAGGGTACAAAAGCTTTGAACTGCAGAGCGTGACTGTTATATTTTTGTAAAAATATAAAGTTAATAATTTAAAAGTTATAAATTGATTTTTTTTAATTAAAATAATTTAATCAAAAAAAAAGATTTTTTAAATTTATGAAGAAAAAAATTAAAAAGATTAAATAATGCTTCCCATATCTATAAAAAAAAATATTAAGAAAAAAAATACTGAAAAACTAAAATAATTAAAAAAAAAAAAAGAATTTTTAAATTTATGAAGAAAAAAAATTAAAAAGATTAAATAATGCTTCCCATATCTATAAAAAAAAAATATTAAGAAAAAAATACTGAAAAATTAAAATAATTAAAAAAAAAGAAGTTTTAAATTTATGAAGAAAAAAAATTAAAAAGATTAAATAATGCTCCCATATCTATAAAAAAAAATTTATTAAGAAAAAAAATACTGAAAAATTAAAATAATTATTTTAAATCTTTGTAAGCTACATAATCATTTTGTTCCGGCGACCGCCAAAAGATTTTTTTTTTCATTTTGAGAGCTAATTTTCAGCTTAATTTTTTTCTTTTTAAAATAATTTACTCCAAGTTTGTTAAAAATTTAAAAATACTTTATCTTAAATTATACGCTTGTTATTTATTATTGTTGTATTAAATGTATTGCTATGTATGCGTATACTGCTCTGTTGCGGTAATTTGAACTCCAAAGGTACAATAACGTAAAGGTGTATGCATATTAATGACAATGAGGTCACAGAGCAGGCACTTAAAGTACTAAACAAAGTTGTCTGCGTTCCAATTACAATGGCATAAATATATGTACGAGTACATGTGTGTGCAGCAACAGAAAATTACTAAAAAGCGTAAATAATAAGAGATTTTATTTTTTTTTATTTACACATTTCATTTTATTACTTTTTAGAATTATATTTTTTTTGTCACTATTTTTATTTATTTTTTCTTAATTTATTTTAATTTACCTAATTTTATTTTATTTTACTTTAAAATTATTTTTCTATTTTATTTTACTTAATTTTTGATTTTTTCTTGTAATTTAACATTTTTGTTGTTTTAATTTGTTTAATTTTGTTTTGTTTTTAACTTTTTTTTATTTTATTTTATTAAATTTTTCAATTTTATTTTATTTTATTTTATTTTATTTTATTTTATTTTATTTTATTTTATTTTATAGTGTGTTAGTTTATTTAGTCTTATTTTATTTAAGTATACTCTACTTCATTTTAGTTTATTTAATTTAATTTTATTTTATTTTATTCTGTTTTATTTTACTTACATTTAATTTTATTTAATATTATATTTTTTATTTTATTTAATTTTATTTTACTTTATTTTAATATATTTTATTTAATTTTCTTTTATTTATATCATATATATTTTTATATTAGTTTATTTTATTTTGTTTTATTTACTTTTTTTTTTTTATTTTACTTTATTTTATTTTTATTTGAATTATTTTTATTTTATTGTAGTTTTTTTAATTTTATTTTATGCAAATTTTTACTTGTTTAATTTTAATTATTTTTTTTAATTTAGTTTTGTTTTATTGAATTTTATTTAAATTCTTAAATTTTTGTTGTTGTTTTGTTGTTTGGTTTTTTGTTTAATTTTTTGTTTATTGATTTTATAATATAATATTAATATTTTTAATAAATATGTATGTATTAATTTGCATTGAAACACTTAATTAACTTTTGTTTCTCTCTCTCTCTCTCTCTCTCTCTCTACTTACAGTGCGGGACCCTAGACGCACACTCCGAATCGTCATATCACTATCAACAGCGTTCCAACAGAATGGATGTTTATCAAATTGACGATGGTTTCCACTCCGACGGTGGGACTGAAACACCACCACCATCACCCAGTTCCGGTTCGTCCATAGCCTCGGCTTCGGATCATGGCTCACTGGAGAGTGTCGATACTGGCGGCACACAACGTTTGGCTGTACTCTCATTCGAACAGGTGCGCAAGTTGCACAATGTCATGGACGAAAAGGTTGCCATACATGGACGTGGTAATTTTCCCACACTCGAAGTGCCCCTCAAAGACTTGGTTAATATGGTACGACGCAAGTTGGAGGCCGATGTCAGTGTGGGCGGCGCCGGTGTGATAGTCAAGGATGTGCGCTTGAATGGTGGCGCAGCTAGTCATGTTTTAGCTTCCGAGGATCAGCCATACAATGACTTGGATTTGATCTATGCCATTGAATTGACTTCAACACGTCACTTTGATCGTGTCAAATCGGCCGTGCTCAATACATTGTTGGACCTCTTGCCCGAGGGTGTGTGCAAGCGCCGCATAATGCCGTGCGCCCTGAAGGAGGCTTATGTCGGCAAGATGGTGAAGGTGAACAATAATAATGACGGTGATCGTTGGTCATTGATTTCGTTGGGCAATTCGCCTGGACATAAGAATGTCGAACTGAAATTTGTCGATACGATGCGCCGCCAATTCGAATTCTCTGTTGACTCGTTCCAAATTGTCTTAGACTCGTTACTACTTTTCTACGACTGTGCCGCTTTGCCCATTTCGGAGAACTTCTACCCGACGGTGGTGGGTGAGTCTGTATATGGTGACTTCCAGGAAGCGCTCTATCATTTGCAAAAGAAACTGATCTCAACACGACAGCCCGAGGAGATACGTGGCGGTGGTTTGCTCAAATATTGCAATCTGTTGGTGCGCAATTATAAGCCCGTCGATCCGCAACATATCAAGACATTGGAACGTTACATGTGCTCACGGTTCTTCATCGATTTCCCCGACATCAGTACGCAGACAAAGAAGTTGGAGGCGTACTTGTCCAATCACTTCTGGGGTGTCGATGAGGAGCCACTGCAATATCAGTACCTGATGCATTTACGCGAAGTGGTCGAGATGTCAACGGTGTGCCTGATGGGACACGAGCGGCGGCAGACCCTTCTGCTCATACAGAATTTGGCTACGAATGTGCTCTACAAAGAGCAGAAGAAACAGCAGCAGGCGCAGGAGCAATATCATCAACATCAGCAGCACCAACACCAGCAACAGCAACAGCAGCACCTTCATCACCATCAGCAACAGCAACTACAGCAGCAACAACAGCCAGTCGATGTGCAAAGCTCACAAACACAACAGCAACAACACCAGCAACAACAGCAACAGCAGTCACATCAGCAACAAGTAACGCTCGTCACAACACAACATCAACTCCAACAGCAGCAGCAGCAGCAACAACAACAACAACAGCAATTGCAAGTGCCCCAAACACAGACGATCTACTTGCAACCGGGTTCGGCTGTCGCCGCCTCGCCCCAAACGACAACAGCGACCATTTGCTGTACGACAGCCACTGGTGAGCAGCAGCAACAACAAGTGCAAGTGCAACAAGCAGCCCAAGTGCAGGCGATACAGACGCACGGCGCAGTGGCCCAGCCGACGACCACCATTTTGGTCTACAACGGCGTCTACTATGCACCTGTGATTCCAGCTATTTGCACATGCAATCAGACGTGGTTGAGTACGTGATTGGCGAGTGAGCCGACAACAGCAGCAACGGAAGTAGCAGCAGCAACAGCGGCAACAAACACATCGACAACAGCGACAGTGACAGCAGTAGGACAACCTGCAGTAGCAACAGCAACAACTAATATGGAGACAGCAGCAGCAGCAGGAGTAGCACTAGTATTACATCAACAACAGCAACAACATCAACAACAGCACCACCAGCACCAAAATGCGTTGGCTATGGCAGCTTACAGCTGTCAACAACATGAGTTGGCAGCAACAACAAGTGAGCTACCACAACAACCACCAGCATCAAATGCGAGTTGCGAGTTCAACTCGAGCAGAACCGTTATGCCCACATTTGCATTTAACAGTAACTACAATGCAGCAACAGCAGCTGCAACACCGTTAACGACACAACTAACGGCAGCCTCAACTGTTGCTAGCCCAGCAGCAGCAACGCAACTGGTGGCAATTCCCTGTTCTGACGCACAGTGTATAATACAACAACAACAGCAGCAACAACTAACAGCACATCAACAATATTATTTGCCTGTTGCAGGGGCAGCAGCAACAACAGCGTTATCGCAACAGCAACAATTCGTTGGGCCAATGCAATTGCAATTGCCGTTGGTGGAGCAGCAGCAAAATCACCAACTGCAACAACAACAATTGCTTGTGCAACAATTTCAGCAGCTGCAGCTGCAGCAGCAACAGCAGCATCATCAATCACAATTCGCTGCCGCCCTCTTTGCCCCACAGCAACAGCAACAGCAACAACAGTTTGTGTATTATTATCCCTACGAGCCCAACGCTGTTGTCTACAGCAGCTGATGGGCAACACAGTAAAGACTGGGCGTGTGTGCAGGTTAGGAGCAAGTGAGCTTTATAAAAAAAAACCAAAATTTCAATCACAAATGACTTTGTTATTGGCGAAAAGGTTAAATTCTTTAGCTTTTACTTTGGCTTATTATTAAAACCGCTTTCAGAGCTTTCCGCGCGGAGTATGTTCAAAACAATTTCGGTTTCGAATAAACGGCGTCTCTTTTGGATAAGATGATCAAAGTATTTCTTTCCAGAGAGCTTTCAACACATTAAAATATCGCAAGCTCCAGTTTTCATGTTGCAAATGTGGAAGTCAATGCATATTGTGTTCAATTGTTTTTTTTTTTTTCAACATACAATAGCTTACATTTCAAATATTGTCCGAAAAAGCTTTCAACAACTCACAGTTAAGCTATAAAATATTTGAGCTTTTAAAGTTTCGATATTTCTATTAAATAAACAACTTTTCTATTCTATTTCCTCGCGTTAGAGCTTTCATATATATGTATGGAAGTTCTTTATTATTTATACAAAACTAAGGCTTCGAAGTTCTCTTAAATTTACGTAAATCGGTATAAAAAAAACATAGTAAGCTTTTGAACTTGAGTTTTCAGCTTCTCAAAGTTTGTAAATTTCTCTAAAATATTTTTATTTTCTATTTAATTATTAAAAGGAGCATGAGTTTCTAAATTTGTAAATTTGAGCTTTTAAAAATTTTATTCTTTAAAATGTTGTGCTTTGGTAAGCTTTTTAAGGTTTGTCAATCGCTCTACAAAATATATTTTCTATTTAATAATACAATAAGTAAGTTTTCAAAAAATTGTTTTCTGTTTTAAAGTTTTGCAAATAAATTAATTATTTTTTTATATTTTTTTCCATTAAATTAACTAAAAATTAAGTTCAAAAGAATTGAGCTTTTAAGAATTTGTACTTTTGTAAACTTTGAAAACTTGGTATTTTTCTAGAAAAAATCTTTGATTATTATAAATTAAACTCAGCTCCTGTTTATAAAGAACTTTCTGCAATTCAACGCTACTCGTATGTACAAGCTTTTGAAAGTATGGTTGGGCTATAAAGTGACTGCTAAACAAAAAGAACATGAAAGCTTTCATTTTCACATAATTCACCATGCGAAAAGCTGCTGATTTCATGAATTTGAATAGAAAATTGTGTTCAAAAGGACTAAAAGAATTAAGTTTCATTGAATCGGTAAATCCAATTTTCAATAAGCTTTCATTGATTTGAAATAATTGTGAGAGCCTTTGAAATACACATGTAGCTTAGAAGCTTAAGTTTTTTTTTGTTTTCCAAAAAAAAAAAAAACTTTATACCATAAAAGCTATATGTTGTAAGAAAAAACTGTTGAAAAAAATCGAAAGCTTAAATGAATCATTGCTGTTGCATCCTTTCAAGCGTCAAACAAATGTTGTGCTGCTGTGGTTTATAATTTACATGTTCAAGCTCTATGCTCGCGAAATTGTTGTTGCTACTTTGTAGTGCATTCCTCTCATACTCTCTCTCTCTCTCTCTCTTTCTGTCCTCTCTTTATCGGATTAAACATTTTTCGCTCTCTGTCGCAGACACACGTATGCACTCAACCTCATTATATGTATAGCTGCTCTGTCGATGTCGGTTTATGTCACTGCTGACTAAATGACGTTGGTTTGTGTCTAAACTAAAATTTATTGTTAACTCTGTACTTTATTATTACATATTTTTTTATATTTACATACTATTTACATACATAAAAAAAAATTATAAATATAAACATGAATACAAATATGCATATAATGATGATGATGAAGAAGATGATTAAAATAATCTTAAATACACACACACACACAGATGTGGATAGTAAGTCTAAGGTAATTATTATGCAGAAAGAGAAGAAAAAAGAATTAAGTGAAAAGTGAATGAGTTATAAGCAAAAAAAAAAAAATATATATATATAAAAATAAATAAATAAAACAACAAAAAATGTTTATAGTGATGTTACTATGATTTCCATTAATTTAATTTAATAATAATACACACATACATATTTCTGTGAATTTAATTGATTTTGTAATAACTTGACAGCGAATTTTGTGTTAACCGTTATGCGTGTTTATTTTATTTTTTCTCTTTTTTTTTTTTTTGTACATTTTAATGCATATTTAATATGAAGAAAGTAGTAAAGAATGAAGTTGTAGAACTGTAAGCGAAAAAATAGGCAGAAGAATGTGAAAAAAAATTGAAAAATATATAAATTAATTAAAGAATTTTCCAACTATTACGATATTGCGTTTGTTGTCATGTTAAATAATTATGATGTTACGTAATAATTTCCTCTTTTCTAAATAATTATATTATTAATATTACTATAATATATTTTGTATTTACCAATACTTGTACAAGAAATGTTTAAGGTGAACTTGCCTGCATGCAGCAGTGTTATTTAGACACACAAACACACACACACACATACTACAAATATACACATATGTAAAAAAAAATAAAATGAAAAACAACAACAAACTAAATATGTGCATGGAAGCAGTTGAAAAACAGAGTTGTGTATGTTTACTTGCGTTTTTATTAATTTTTCCATAGAATTTAGTCTGTCTTATTGCATATAAATACATACATTAATATACATATATATATAAAAACATTTAAATTTATACGAAAGAAAAAAAAATTAATTATATCGTATCTACATGAAACATCTCTATACTATACACATACATACATACATACAAACATACATGCATAAATTAATATATTTACCTACAACTAAAAATATACTATACACACATATAAATGATTGATTAAATAAGTAAACAAATAAAAAATAAAAATAAAAATAAAAATAAAAATAAAAGTAAAAAAAAAGATTAATAAATAAATGAAAAATGCGATTATTATTTGTAAAGCTTCGAAGACGAATATTTATCGTTGTTGTTGTTGTTGCCGTTGCACACAATTTAATATTGTCGGTTGCAACGCGCACACACACACACACACACACACACATAGAAACAAACGAAATCCATAAACACACAATAGATACCAAGAAATAAAAAAAATAAATAAAAATAAGCGCTCACACCCACACACACACACACACGCAAACATGCGCAGACAAACACTATTTGTTAACATTTAAGAGATTTTAAATAATTATATTTATAAGCGATTTAATTAACTTCAAAATAAATAAATAAATATATATATATATTTGTATGTATGTATATGTTTGAACATATTGCATAATTTAAATGCGTATGTAAATAAATATTTAAATAAACAAATAAAATGGAAAAGCTAAAAGCTTAAGTAAAAAAAAAAAAATGTGTGTAAAGTGCGTGAAAAATGCGGTGAGAATTTTTTGATAGATCAACAATAATAACAATAACAATATGATATGTGTAAATAATTTAAAAGATATTAAAAAAAAATTATAGAAAGCAAGTAATAGAAAAACAGTTTAAAGGTGATTCTTTGTGTTGTTTACCATAAATCTTTGCATAAGAAACTGATAAAGTAGCGTAAATTTATATATGTAACATTATATTGTAATAGTGGCTTAGTAAAACTGATTGTATGTATGTTTCTTGTACAGTTGACTAAGCAAGTTTTTTTTTTTCATTGCATACACTCAGGCGCTCGTAAAGGGTATGATGTGTAAGTGAATGTGGGCGAATAAATGAAATTTTGAGATTGTGAATGAGACAAAAAAAAAAGTGGAAAAAGAAAACTGAAAAAATTTAAATTTAAAAAATTAAACCCATTGGATTATAGATGTTTTCAAGTTGCAAATAATATTTACAAAATTCCAAAATCGAGCTCTTAAAATAATTTTTTCTATCAAACTGGAGCTTTTCAAAATTAGCCGAAAATTTAATTTAATTTTTTTAAATTTCTAAATTTACAAATTTTTCGAAAAATCACATCTTTGTAATCTTAATCCATATTTGCATACAATTTTCAAAATATTAGTTATTTCACTTTTTAAATAAATAGAAAAAATACCAACACTATTGATGAGCGGCCGCGGTAGCCGAAATTTATGGAAAATTAATTTAAATAAAAAAAATTCATCAGACGTTCGGAGGCGTATAATCTGTAGGTCCTTCTGCTACTAAACTAGAAAATTTGAACTCCTTCGAAATTAATTCAAATTTAAAATCTTACCTAAATTTTTGTGCTAACAGTAATTGTAAAAATATCATTTAATTTATAAATATTAAAATAATAAATATTCAAAAACTATTTAATACTATTTGCTCATATAATAACATATTTTTTGGATTAAGTTTAAAAACAATTAATTATTTTTTTCATAAAATTACAAAAAAATTAATTAAAAACTCATTTGCGATCAAAAGCTTTCAGTGTTGTTCCTGAAGCTTTTGAGTTTAAATAATACTTTCAATTTAATTAGCCAATCTAATTAGCACCTAAATTATATAATTCCTGAGCAAACTTATTATTTAAATAAAATGTTTCTAAAGCAACTAAGCTGACTTCGATTTTAGGGATTTTTTTACGTAAATTATTTGTTGTGCATGAACTTTTTGTGGTACTGAAAAACTTTGACTGATTTGTTTTCGTAAAAAATTCTGTTTGATATGTTTAAATTAATAATTGGAATTGTTTGAGATACTTTAATATGTGTATTTTCACAAAACCATAAAAATGTGTTTTTCTAGTTAAAAAGAAAAAACCTAAAATGACAAAAGCTTTTCCGAAACATTTCAAACCGCAACCGATGGTTTCTTCTTAACAACACAACCAAAAAACTACCAATTCAATCCAATTAAATGGAAAAATGCACTGAAATTTATTTATATCCCCGACGCTTTCATTGAATGTTCGCTACCATTCGAAAGCTTATTTCTAAGCGCAAGCAATGCGTGTAAGTTTTCTTAAAGCTCAAAAGCTTTGCGGTATTTTAAAAAATAGAAAACTCAAAATCTCACAAGCTTTCACTCTTCCGAAGCGCTTGAGCTGTGGCAAGAAATCAG